AACAGCCAGCTGACTGTGGTAGTCGTACGTTAGCATGAAGGCTGGAGTTGGTTGACGGCCTCACTTTCTCTCCCAGAGTACCAGTGAGCCACCTCACCTCTGCAGGAGGTTTGGAACCAGCAGCCGTGCAGGTAATAAGAGGGACCTCGTCGTTACCCAAAGCAGGATGAGCATCCTTCAGGCTTGTGACCGGAGGCACTAAGAGAGCGACAGTCAACAACAAAGTTAACACACACACTCTTAAGATGTTCATGACTCACACATACAAACACAACATGAGCAGCATTTTGAATGTATCATACCAGGAACTATAAGAGGTATCGCTGTCTCATGGATCCCGCTGGGGAACAAAGTGAACACACATGTGTAGTTGCCTTCATCCATCAGTGTGACATTCGATAACTGGAGAGTACCATTTTTATCTGTAAAACTCCCAATGAACCTAAACCGATCATCACGGCCATTGACAGAGCATGGTCCATAATGGGACGAGATTGTATAGAAATTGTCCGTCCGAGGTTTTCCTCTGGTCAATCTCTGCCATGAAATCTGTGTGAGGGTCTCTGTGGTACCAATGAGTTTACAGTGGAGGACAGCTGCTCCTCCCTGCACCGTTGTCGTTCTTCCTCCAATGACCTCCAGAGCTGTAAAGATGCACAAGATAACGTTCACTGGAATAGAAATAATTTAGAAAATACAAAAAAACAAGCATTTCCTTTGCGTCCATATGAGAAAAGCTACAATGTAGGCTACTTATGGTGGGCCTTTAGTTTATTTAGGTCTGCATTAACGACTCCCCCCAAAATAAATACACGCTTTTAAATTGTAGGGTGAATTAGCCAAATGTGGGACGCCTCAGCTCAAGTGGGTGTAGGTCTTCCTACAACAAATGAAAGTCAATAAAACTAAGGGTTAACACAAGTTGTGATGTCATGTGATCAAAATAACATGACTTCTCAAATGTCCAATCAGAGATTAGAATGATACAAGCTTCAAACATGAAGTACACAGCATGAAGACCACCCAAAGGTCAGGGACATACTGTTTAGACAAACTTAATGTTAAGGATATACATTTCTTATAAATAAAACAATCCTACTTTTTTTTATCTGGATGTTTTTATGATATGTTTGTTCATCAAAAAATATTATATTATGTTTTAAATAAATTCTATAATTGTTATTTTAAATTAAAAGTTCCTTTGTGTTTCCTAAAGCGAGACAGTTTTTTGCATTCAAATATGCCTGTTGTGTTTTTTTAAGAACCCTAAGTACATCTCTGGTAAAGATATGATTAAATAAGTTATTTTGCATATTTCTCTGAAAAACACAGTTTTAAAGATTTGTCTATCAATTAATCAATTAGTCAACAAAATAGTATTGGTGTTAGTTGGCTAAGAATTTCTTTTGTTCAGGACAGACGTATGGAATAGAAAACATTTTAACATTTTAACATTGCATTTCTTTAAATAAATTCATTCATAACATGTTCACAACATTCTGCTTTCTCTGTATGTCAAATATGATCATTTAATAGCCTATTGTCTTTCTACAAAATGCATCAAAACTATTATATTCCATTTGTAGTGTTTTGTAACACCAATAACATTGTAAGTGGTAAAATTACAGAATATGGTATTGCACATTTTAGACTTGAGTGTGACAGGTTTTTATACCTGAATTAAGGTGATTTAGACTTTTTAACATGACTTTTCAGTGTCCCACATTTAGAACAGCACTGTCCCACATTAGGAAATGCAGATTGTCCAAACAATTTGGCACTAAGACTACTGATATGTCTGAGTGTGGGTTTGATTAGGGGACATCCTGGGGATTTCAGAGTGGTACTGGGTGTGGATTATTTAATGTAGGCCTATAGCTTCATCTTGCAATATATCTCAGAAGTCTGAAATGCCAAAATTGTCCCACATTAGGCTAATTCACCCTATCAATATTAACTAGAAATTGCATTTACCTGCGGAAAATGCGTGTGAATGCTGACGGCTGAAATGTTTTGCAAAACACTGCTGAATGAAGAAGAATCAGCAGAAGATGAAGAAAAAGTACAAGATTAGGAGCAAGAGGACAAATGGCCGAACGCGTCGATGTGATTTTCATGTCTGGGGTTCAAGAAATGTGGAAACCACAGCGATTTGAAAAGTTAGTCCCAAGAGGTGTGGTCAGTGAAGTCAGGCCTAAGTTTAACATTAGCCCAGATGGAGATTTCTCTGGACCACCTGCCGCTTTGAAGCTCACAGTGGAAAAAGCTTTTCTCCAATTGTCCTGAAAACTCAATATGTCAGAGAGGACAAGTTTTCCTACATTTTGAGGGTAAATTTATGTGTGTGGGGTGAAGATTGTGGTCAGGAGAGCAATTTGTTCGGGAGATTTTGAAACTATTTCAGAACTCTGTCCCACTCTAGCGATGATGTCACTCACTCTAAAATGTGAGAAAAGTTAAAAACTTCACCCAACAGTTGGAGGTACAGTTTGAAAAGTATAAAAGGTAGCAAGACACGTGAAAGTAATATGAATAGAGGACAAGTGTGTGAACACTTTAAAGCAAAAATGGAGTCTCTAGGCAGAACACAGCCAAAGTTATGAGGCTGAGAAATAAGTGTAAAAACGTGAAAAAGTTGAAAATCTTCCCATTCATTTCAATGGGGCCAAATTTTGGACAAAAAGTTAAATAACTTTAAAAATAAAAGTAGTAGAAACTGCTTCCAGCATTCACACTAATTAAACATTTTGGGGATTAGTAGTCTAGCCTATAAAACAAAGACTTGTACTTTTCCGTCTGAAAGTTTGAAGGACGAAGCTAAACGTAAATAACGTACCCTACAGGAATATGTTTTACAAGATCTCTTTTTAAAGAAAAGGTTTTACACACAGTCAACTCTTTAGAGGTTGTAAATCATTTTCTTATTGTTCTGTATACATTTCTGTTATTTCTTTAAGTATTTACCATAAAGTTATCTAGAAAACGGTAACACCGTGACAGGTACTTTCTCATTAGAACTGAGCCAACATACCGTTTGTGACTGTGGGAACCATCAACGTTAACACCAGTAAAAGCATAGTGGTGCTCCTTAAACCCAAACACAGGCCTATCCATAGTTTACGTCCAAATTATTCATATCCATCCATCCATGTGTGCAGTTTCTTTATACCAGCATCTTTCCTCTGCTCCGAGACAAAACAGGAGGACGACACGAAACCACACACTCACGGGGATGCGTTCAGGAGGACTCGGAATTTACACGATCCAAGTAATCTTTCAGTCCCTTTTTTGGGTTGTTGATTAAAAACAAGTGAATAACTTAATATAATTGTTTGATGTGAGTATCGCTATAATAACCAGCCTCAACATTTCCTGCTGTTGTTACATAGAAGAGATGTTCACTATCCAAAGAGTCTCACGGCACTGTGTGAGCTCAAAACACATTTATATTACATAGAAATATATTACAATCATTACTTCATTATTTTAACTATATGTAAATATTTATAACAAAGAGCTGCTACAAATGGCTGAAAAACTTCGGTTTTACAGTGTATATTAACAATAAATCTCATTAAAGAAACATGAGAAACAGTTACCAAATGGTAAAACAGTGACACCTAGTGGACAAAATAAACAACAACATGCGGCTGTAAAACAAAACAGAAAGTATGAAAATACAAGGAAAAACATACCTGCAGAAGACAAAAGAACATTCAATGTGCCTTCTGGACATTTGTTTTTTGCACCTCTGCTCCTAAACATGCTAAATAAATATTATTTTAACTGAGAATATCTGCAGCACGTCAATCACGTGACACAGGCGCTGTAGGATATCACACAATTCGCGCCAAAACCGCTACATTAAAACAGTCTCCAAAGTGATATAAAACTCTCAAAACCTAAACAAAATGACTGATTAACATCGTATTACTATCAGTTTATAAAATAAACGGAACATTACAACTTAAATCACTTATTTTCCACAGTAAATAAAGTAATGATGCAGCAACGTCTTTACATACAACTCACCCTCAGCAATGCAAAACGGCACCGTGAGGGACAGATGGAAGGAGCTACGGTAACCCAGGAGGTACAGAAACCGCAAAGTGCCAAAAAGGTCATTCTCAAAGGAAACATAAATTTGATAAAATAACAGTAAATATACATAACTCGTTAAGATAAAATTCACAAATACTTAAAAGAAATAAATTATAAATGAAATCTCAAGTATAAATTGTAAACTGTACTCAAAAATAAAGTGCATTTTAACTCTGTTACATCTATACAGTAACTTGTTTTTAATAATGACAAAATAGTCGGTGTAACATCATTAACAATGTTTGCAAGTGTTCATGATGTGGAGTTTATTAGTTTTGTATTTTGTGTATTTCAGAGTTTAGATTTATTGTTCTGTTTCATTATGTCATTTCTTATATTATGCTTGTGTTTCTTTTGTTCTAGTGTGTATTGTTACATTCTTCTCTGTGTGTCTTTAGTGTTTCCTCATTTATTTGGAAGTTAAAATACCAGTATACCAGTACAAGTAGAGCACGTGACAAAAAGGGATCCTGCTGCTTTTAGGGGGGATCGGAATTTCCACTATCCATGTTCCATGAATTATTTCACCTTTAACGCAGTCCCTCTTGTGGTCAGGTGTGCAATAGCAAATATCTTTTCTTTTTTTTCTCCTTGAAAGCCAAGTTTCCATTGCTCCATAATGTCTGCTGACTTGGTGTTTCATCATGAAATACAACTTTTTGCTCCAACATAATTAATTATTAATAATAAAATAATAATTATAATAAAAAAAGGATTTCATTTTTGAACTTAATAAATATTTGGGTTTCAAAAACAATTTGCCTAGCTATTATTATTATTATTATTACTGTCATACCAATACATACATTTAAAAAACAAGTCGATCCAAAGTTCTTTTTATCAAATTTAAAGGGCAATAGAATCAGAATCAGAATCGTTTTTTTATTTCCAAGTACATTTACACATACAAGGAATTTGTCTTGGTGTATTGGTGCAAAAGGGTTAGCCACAAGAACCACAATAAAATAGAACAAAACATTTAAGAAGAGTTCATAATTCTGAAAAAATAGAGTACAGCAATGTAAAAAAAAAATTGAATTAGATAATAAGATGATATGACGGGATTTAGAAATTACATTCCTGCTACAGGGCCCTCTAATAAAAGGCAAAGGCATGCCAAAAAAATGTTCTGATTTCAAAGAAGTAGGGTTGCAAGTTTTTTATATATAAATTGTATATATATATATATATATATATATATATATATAAATATATATATGTCATAGAGATGTGTTCCGTCATTATTCCATTCGAGCAGCTGTCTGGTTACTCAGTTTTAATCTGAACTCAATGAAAAATATTGAAGTCGAGTCCCTTCAAGTGTTTATCATCTTGTATTCCACACAGCTTTGGGGCAGATTCAGAGGCACCTGCAGCGGAAAAATGTGGAAATAAACTCACAGGACAAAATGTTTGAGAGATTTTAGAGCACACTAGTTTGAGTAAAGTTCTTCTGACCTCTCCTCCTCCAAACGGGACTTGAACCACGGCATAGATCAGGGTTCTGCTGCAGGTTAAGTCCTGGTTTGAGGCCCAGCTCTTGCTTTCCCTGTAGGGATTTATAACCAATAATATTACTCCATGGCACATTTCAACTGTCTCCAATACATTGTTAGGAAAGTCTTAGAATCTTTACTGAACTAACTCATAAATGTAACAATGTGACACATTTTTAACTCTTCTTGATCAAATGTAAAAGGGAGATTATCTGCCAAATGTACTTAAAGAAAGAAAAGAAACATCTAGGCTATTATGTAAAACAGAATGGGTATAGGGTCAATTATATTTATCATTGATTAATCTGCTTTTTTATTTATTTATTTTGATGGATTGATAGCCCTTTAGAGAAAATGAGATTTTAGCAAATACCCCGAAAAACATCAACTTAAGAACCCTCAAGTTGACACATTCAAATATCCTGTTGTATTAAAAAAAAATTGCAATGAGCTCAGACTATAGCAACACATGGTGCAGGTGTGAGATGGTCACTGTGAGCCAAGATGAACTAAAGCTTGTTTATTTGGCAGAAATTGTCACACAGTCAAGTTATAACTTACATGCAGAGATAAACAGCTGGAGGGATGCCACATAGAAGGAATCCAATCCCAGCTGTGAGTATGTATGGGAAATACCCCGATGACTTCTCCTCTGTGTAAAATCAGATGTGAATGACTTTATGTTGCAGGTCATCAGAGCTTACACATTCATTATGACTTTTATTTAAGTGAGGAGACCAGCTTTGAGCTCTACTTACCTTCAGGTTTGTCAGACACGGTTAAATTCCACCGATAAGTCGTTGACCCTGAAGATTCAGTTAAATTACATGTATATAGTCCTTCATCATCTTCCTGAGCATTAGAAATAATCAGCTTTGAGGATAGATCTATTGTCAGTCTGTCAGAGGTAAATTTGAAACAGTCACATTTCCTTCATTAAATGAGAAAAAAAAATCTGCCTTTGCTCCAGTTGATTTGTTTTGTATTTTCTCTTGATGTGTTGCAAGTAAAGATGACAGAGCCTCCCTGGACACCTCTTCATCGTGGTGCCTTTTGATCTGCTTAAATCAAAGAATGAAAAAACAATTAATACATATGCAACAGATACAAAACTTAGCCTTGAGAAAAGCATGCATTGCAAAAAACACAAAAGTTGTACTCTACCTGCAAAGACCCCGTGCATAAATAATAAGGAGAGCAGAGCTGCTTGGTTTGGATGAAACATGATGACCATAAGCCAGAGAAAAAGACAGACTGACAGTTCATCACCAATAAATATTTCTGTGAAAGAGTCGGGCGAAGAGGAAGTGGGTGTTGTTTTGAAGGAAATGATGTGTCACGTCGGCCGTGAACCACAGAGGTCATGGCTAACGTCTTTCAATAGTGTGAGAATGTGAAAAGTTCTCAAAGTTTATGAGATTAAAAAAGTGAAATCATAGCTTTGTTTGACCTGGTGCATTTACCAAGAGGAGCAGACAGCTTCTAGAATTATTTAGTGTTTTAATGAGTGAAAGAAATTATTATTATTTTTAAAGGAAACACTTCTGTGACCTAACATTTACAAATGCCCCTCTCTCTCTCTCTCTCTCTCTCTCTCTCTCTCTCTCTCTCTCTCTCTCTAAAGAGATCTTCAACATGTTTTATTGCTAAAACAAAATCGAGTCAGGCACATGGATCATCATTTTTTCATCAAAATGTGAGTCAGGTCGGGGGTCAATTCAATCAATCAATTTTTATTTGTATAGCTTCAACTCATAACAAGTGTTATCTTGAGACACTTTACAAAAAGCAGGTAAAAGACCTTACTCATTGTTATGTTACAAAGATCCGGTCTATCCATCATGAGCACTTTAGCAAAGCAGCAAAAGTTACAGTGGTAAGAAAAAACTTTCTTATTAAAAGGCAGAAATCTTCAGACCGGATCTCCAGCTCATGATGAAACAGCCTTCACAGGTCTAGACTGCGCCGGGCTTGGAAAGGGAAAGGGGGAGAGATGGGATAAGATGCAGGAAGAGGGATAGGGAGCAAGGGGGTCGGGGGTTTCAACATTTTCTTGATAAAAAAATTCTATTACTATAAAAATAATATTATTGAGAACAAGGTCTTAAGTTTCCAATTTCAACAAAAATACTGTACTTCAATTTTTTCACGTTCAAAGGCGGCTGCTGAACCTGAATCTGCTGAAAATTTGAGTCAGGTCGTTGCTCAACATTTTTACACCAAAATTTGAGGGGGGGGGGGGGTAAAATCATTTTGTCATCAAAACAAAAACATCTGACACAAATTGTCATGAAAACACGTCGAGCTGACCTGACTCAAATTTTCAGCAGATTCAGATTCAGGTTCAGCAGCCGCCTTTGAAAGTGAAAAAATTTGAAGTCTGGTATTTTTGTTGACAATTGGAAACTTAAGACTTTGTTCTCAATAATATGATTTTAAGATAAGATAATCCTTTACTCATATCGGAGAAATGTTCAGTGTTACAGCAGCAAAGAGCAAGGATAGCCAACAAAAAGAAACACAAGAAAAACCTATTATCAAATCCATTTAACTTTTTTATACACAAAACAAATTAACTATACACACCAACCTGAAAAGATGAAGCTCATGTATCACAAACATGAATTCAATCTGCTAAACTCAAAGTA